TTTTTTTTGCCGTAGTCAGCTTCATTGCCGATAGAGATTCAGACGGGATATTCTGCCTCACTGGCAAGCATTTCCTCCCCATCCTCTTTTTTTTTTTTTTTTTTGGTTGCTGCTTTTATCAGTTCTTTCCATATGAAAATAAACCAAGGGGGAGGGTGGCAGGCGGCGGGTCTGCCTTGATAAATGGAGCGTTATTCATCAGCGTGTGTGTGATCACCACTGGAATGTTAACTAGCACCTTGGACAGCCCCAATACGACCCAGGAAGAGAGGAGATAGTGATGATCATCGCTATATTCTGACACGACTGCAGCTTATAGAGGGGTATACGGCTGAGAGATCATTGTGTGTGTGATTGTATAAAAATTTCTCAGAGTGTGTGTATGTGCGGATGTGTTAATATTCTGTCTTCAGGCCCTCAGAGAGAGCCGGCTGGGAAGCAGCTGTGTATGTGTGTGTGTGTGTTTTAGATATAGAGGGAGAAAGGAGTGTGTGTGAGCATGAAAGGTGACCAGAACTACAGGCTGAATCCCATTTCCTGAGGTTACCCCCACCCTTAGTTCTGCTCTCCTCCCTCTGTCACTTGGCACCTGAGTTCTGGTAGTGGTCAAAATAAGATTGTCTTTCAAGATGCTGATGCATCATCATCTTGTACATAAACATACAGCTAAAAAAAAAAAGTCAGAATAGTAATATAAAACTTGTTTATTTTTCTAAGTCAACAGAAAAAGTGAAACTATATATTATATTACATACCAAATCATATATTCAAAGTTCTCTTTTTTAATTTTAATTTTGATCATTATAGGCTTCAGCTATTAAAAAACCAAAACATATAAATAAACAAAAATAAATGCTTTTGTAAAAACAAGAATTAGACAGTCATTGGAAATGTTGCTGACTTGACAGTTGTCCAGCAGAAATTCGTTGGCATCCTCCATGACAAGCTTACAATCATCATTAACAAAGTCGGTTGGCACGGTGCTGTTTGATGAAAAGTTTAGTGGAAGGAAAAAGAGTGGCAAGTAAAAGCACACAATTAACAAGGACAACCATAGCCTTGAAATGACTGTGAAGCAAAGTTCATTCAGCACTTTGGAGGAGATTTACAAGGTGTGGAGCGTGACTGGAGTCACTTCACACACACACACACACACACACGCACACACACACCACACACACAAGAGCCGCCACCCACAATATACCCAAGACATTGGCTACAATTTTGCAAATCCTTGTGTTAAGTCACTTCTGAAGTAGAGATGTAAATAAGGCTGGACTGTTGCTGAGGTGTCAAATGTCTTCCTTTTTTTATTTTAATATTCTAATTTACTATAGTGCACTTATAAACATAAATGACCTAATATGCCTGTACACATCATATAAAGCATTGTCAATCTTTCAGCAGACATCAGCATATACAATGTCTATGCTTGTTAAGGAAGATCAACAATATAATGCCAGATGTAATGTGTTATGGACTAAATCTGCTTTGATATATTCATTATTCATATTTTTAGAAAAATATACTGCCAAAATAGAAGACTTTATCACACTCATCTTCAGATTTACTTAATGACTACTGAGGATATACACTTTATACCCTAGTATATAAACCAAATCCACCATAGTGATAGACATAGCAAGCAGACATAGCTTGTGGAGGAATGAAAACAATATCAAAGAACATAAAATGTATACATTTAACTGCACATCTAATGGTTGTTTTAGTCTAAATTAGAGAAAATGACAAAACAATTGAATTTGGGAGATATTCTATCTTTTTGTTTCTAAGCTAGACTCTGAAAAATCTCAGTTTTCAGAGGTGAAGGCTTTCCCCTCCCCGTTACCCAGAGGAACAATTGGGATGCTCTATCCTTGGTAACATAGGGTCAAAGGGTAGGAATCAGAGGTAGCAGGGTGAAAGTTGATTCAGATTGTTGTGTGTGTGATGTGAAGGAAGAAACAAGGTGTGTGTGTGTGTGTGTGTGTGTGTGTGTGTGTATGTGTGGAGGAGAAATAAGTGTGTGTGTTCGTGTCGCATGTGTCCAGCCTTACGCTACATACAGGTCAGGAGCCCCGTGGTGCATTCAGGATTTAATTAAGCGTGTGACGTGACACCCACCCCCACGCACACCCCTTCCCCCAACAAGGTCCTGTGATCTGTGAAACAGTCTGTAGTGAGGATGTGACACAGCAGCAGCCCTGACAGCCCGACACCAAGTTAAGCTGAGCGGACAACATCTCGTTTGCCCCATCTATCACTTTCATATCTATTTTTAAAAGGACCAAGTAAGGTAGCTCAGCAAAAGACTGATGACATGTGTGTATCATACGTGTGTGTGTGTGTGTGTGTGTGTGAGGGTATTCCACTGGAAACTAATTAAATTCATCTTTTATTTCTGTCTCCCCCCCGTTCCTCCCTCCCTCCCTTCTCTATGCTTCCAGGAGGCAGTCTGGGCTTATTATGGGGGTGACCGGAAGGAGAGAGTGACAGAGGAACAGTGATGCCACTGTTTACATAACGACACATTCACACACATGCATCAACACACGTATATACCCACAGACATGCATGCGGGCTCAAATTGCCAGTCCGGGACACACACGCTCACTTAAACTCTCCAGCACATACATACGTACACTCACAGGGACTCAGTGACTGAGTCACTGCACACTCAGAGGCAAAGACTCACTGACTCACATGCAGACACATACACAAGGGGAAAAGGTTGCTCTCAAGAGACAGGACTGCGTGCAGTGTGTGTTATGGGCCAAGCTGAGCAGCAGCTGTGCGTTAGAGTTGGATACCTCTGAGGGGTCAGCATAGACGTAACCCTCAACCTGCCTCCAGCACTTCACTCTACCCCCTTTCTCCCCCTAGTTTTCTGCCTAATCAAACCGTCATGTCTGAGCTGAGGACCAGCAGAACTATTCCTCCCTCCCCCTTCTCCTCCTCGCTTGGATTTCCATCCCTCCTCCTTTCCCTTTGCTTCTCCCTTTCTCTCCAGCCGACCTCTTTGTCGGCTGAGCAGACAGTGCCTGTTGTTTCCACGGCGCAGGGCCGCATTCGTGGCATCCTGACCCCTCTGCCCTCGGACCTTCTGGGGCCTGTCATCCAGTACCTGGGAGTACCGTATGCAAGGCCACCAACTGGGGATCGCCGCTTCCAGGCACCTGAGCCGCCTCTGCCGTGGCCCGGAATACGGAACGTGACACAGTTTGCTCCAGTGTGCCCGCAGGCTTTGGATGAGAGGAGCATGCTGGGAGATATGATGCCATCCTGGCTCACAGCAAACCTGGATATAGCAGCAACTTACCTCACTCACCAGAGCGAGGATTGTCTCTACCTCAACATCTACGTACCCACAGAGGAAGGTGAGTGAAGTGTGCAGTGAGTTTACGGGGCTGAGGCGGTTAAATTTGCATGCACAGTTAAGGTTGGGATTACATGTTATGGTTTATGCCCTATGATGAATACATGAGCTAAGAGAATGATACCTTTGACAAATGATTAAAACATGGCAGAGAGCTGTTGCTGCACATACTCAGGCTTGTTGAATAAATAAATAAAGGTTTTTAAAAATGGGCCTTGTTTTCTCTTCCCCTTCAACATGCCGCTGGTTAAACCGACGCTTAATATGCAGACACCTGCGTCAGTCGCTATGGGGTTTACGCATTTACTTGTGGAGGAAAATGGGAAGGACACAGGCTTACTCATGCATACATATTGGTTGATATAAATGCATGTGAACCCATGCACATGCACACTCAAATCAAGGACTGCACCCTCCGGCTTTTGGTGGTTAACTAATGTCACCTTGGTGATTTGAACACATTGGTAATCTGCCTGTCTATCTCAGACATCCACGAGGAGGGGGGTCAGCGGCCAGTGATGGTCTACGTCCACGGAGGCTCGTATTCTGAAGGCACCGGGAACATGATGGATGGCAGTGTGCTCGCAAGCTACGGCAATGTCATTGTCATAACCCTCAACTATCGCCTTGGAGTTTTAGGTAAAAGAATCACTTATCTCAGTTTAATACATCATTTGTGTAACCATATGCAGACTATTGTGTTGTTAGATAGCAAGTAGCTATAAATTTAGTAGTAGTAGCAGTATGAGTATAGTTTTGTATAAAATACTGTTCGAAAAAATAAACCTTAAATTCCCTTAAATGTATTCATTTTATGTAATAATTTCCTTTAGTGTTGGACCAACATCTACTTTGCCATAGCAGCAATACAACAGTGTTGTTCTATTTATTGGAACTGTTTTGTGGGTGTCTGTTTTTTCAGATGGTGGAGGAAATCTGATTAGATCATATACAAAGTTATTAATTGGCATAGTCAAGCTTTTGTACTTCAGTAATTATAGGATTATAGAATTTTCACTGAAAAAGACCTTTTAAGTCAAGGTTTAAAGGTCTCATTAAGTTTCAAAAGGAATCTCTCTGGACCATTTCAAATTTACTTCCAATGGCTTCTTTGTCCTAAAGGACAAGTGCACAGAAAAGCTGTATTCCCTTTCATTCCTTGCCCTTACGCCATATCTGCACCACTTTAATTTGCTCGTTCATATCAAGGTTGCTGGGTTTCTCGTTCCTTTTTGTAATGCTGAGGGTCGGCAGAGAGGTAGCACTACTTCGCTCTTCAAACAGAGATTTGCTTAAAATGTCAGGTATGACCAGAGTTCAGAAATCCATTTCCAAGTATTTCCTACACTTTACCCTTTCGCTCTAGAACTTCTGGTTTACATGTATGCGAAGACAAATGGAAAAAGGTCTGTTATTTTCAGCTTCAAATTCCTACACATCAAATTACAGTGTAAATAATGTAATTCCCAAGTAAGACAAGCTACCACACATTGTTTTGGGGTTTTAAAATTCCATGACTTGATGTAAACGTGTGCGCTGCACAAATGTTCCTCCCTCTGCTATAAACATGTTATAGGAATATTGTTACCTAATTTAGTGCCATAATACATAGATTCTTTACCTGCATTGATGACCATTAACTCAACTCAGCCTGCTGAATGCTTGTATTGGGGTAGACAATTTTTAAATTAGAGTGGACAGTTTTTGGAGTAAAATATATAGCTTTGTCAGAAAAACAATTGTAATGTGAAATGTAGTGTACTCTCATGTCTTACATTAATTAAAAAACATTAATCTTAACACAAGTCATTTGCATAGCTTTACAGAGTATGCATGGATGCACTGACATTTTCCCTGTTTAAATGAAAAAAAAAAAAAAAGAAACGGGCCAATTCATGAAGTACTTAAATTATTTTCCCTTTCACAGATGGAATGTGTTAATAAATAGTCTTTGTCATTTTGGATTTAGAGTGATAGGGCTTTGGAAAATGGAAAACTCTTAAAAATGAGACCCTTGTAACTGTATCACTTTATGCACAATTTTTATGTAGTTAAAACATTTAATTCCATTGTTCAGTAGCAAGGTGGCAACAAAGAATGCTCCACAGAGTGTAACAGTCCAGGATATGTCCAGTGTTCTGGAAACATCTGTGTGAGGTGAATCTTGAAGCACTGATTCCAAACAGTGGAATCAGCACCACTGGGGGTGATTTGTTGTGAATCTCCCCCAGACTCTTGAGTTTACTTTACAGTCCTCTCCCTGTTGCTAGAACACTTTCTTCTTCCACAGCTTTTCCTTCCACTAAACTTTTAAATAATGTGATGGGATACATTTGTATTGGTTTTATGTAATAGCCAGTGTCTTTAAGAAGCAACTTTGCAAACTGCCATGATCAACATGAACAAAAATAAGCACTTGAAAGATATTACCCCATAAATAATGTAAAAGTCTTACTTTTTAAAATGTAATTAATGAAATAAATTAACTTTTCACTGATATTCTAATTTATTGAGATGGGCCTATAGTTTGCGACTTGATTCAGAAGATTAATTCTGGCAGGTTGATAATTATCTTTCAACTCATTTCTCTATTATCCAGGGATTCTTAATGATTCATTACAGTTTTGTTTAAGGTGATTCTGCATGTAGAATTATATATATATATATATATATATATATATATATATATATATATATATATATATATATATATATATATATATATATATATATATATATCTCAACACAACAGCTCATTTTTCTGAACAAATGTATACAATTTTCACCATCTGGGTTATTTAATCCTTCAATGAGCTATAAAAATGCTCAAACCATCAGTGATTTGTTTCTTACCCAGAGCACAGTTTCTCTCCCCCTATTCCTTCTTGTTTGAATGGAAACATGTTCAGCATCCCTTGTGGAAACAAAACCTCCCTGAAGCCATTTTTTCCTTCCACTACTGTCATCGAGTTGAATCTGATCCTTTTTATCTCAATGGCTTATTGATTCATTGGTAGTATAAAAAAAAAAAAAAAAAAAAAAAAATGTTGGATTCCCTTTGGTTTTTCTAATTTTAGTCAGCCCTACGAAGCCAAAGAGTTGAACAAACAGACCATCTTAAAATCCATTTAGGCTTTTTGTGGTTGCAGTGACCGGTGTGACATAGCTTAGGAAGGGGCACATGAGGGTTAAAACATTTAATGCCATAAAACATCATTTACTTTGCTGTACTAAGAGCCGGAGTATTGAGTTGTTTATGCGAGCAGAGTATCTATGGCCTCAGTATGATTAAGTCAACCGGGCAAGATGCATATTCAATTGCCTCGGCGATATTGATATTTTATATAAAAACAATAACAATAACAAAATGTCAGGGGCATTGTTTCAAGTTTGTTTATCCATTAAAATGTTCTTTAAAAGCACAAAGCTGATGCTAATTCTGCTGCATGGAAGCATTTGAGGACTTTATGAGAGGTTCTGCTCTTAAAAGGACGCCACATCTTTGACTCAGCTTTAATTAAACAGATAATGGTATTTTTTATTAGCCCACAGCGGTGCAGACAGGAAATGTGGAGAAAGACATGCAGTAAAAGGTCCAGCAGGCTTGGAATTGGTCTTGGGATTCGCTGCTTGAAGGCATTCATGCCCATGTGCCCTCACAGCTTAGCTATCAGGTCGCCTCAGGCGGCGCAGGTTTTCTTGAAAATGTATTGAACCTGAGTTGAACATTTTCTAAAAAAAAAGAGATTTAAACGTTGAAATTCAATGTTTTTTTATTAGATGCAGAGTTAAGGCTGACCTTGTGGAAAATTGCTGCTGCAGATGTGATCAACATTGTGAGCCAAACAAAGAACAATTCTACATGCTTATTTTTGTCCTCACCCCCCCCGTCCATTTTGTGTGTTTATGCCACCTCCAATACAATCTTCACCATTACCATCATCATCATCCTCCTCATTTCGAGTAGCAGAATCACCTTCCTCCTCCTCCTGTTTTCCATCATCATGAGTGGATGCATGAGGTGAGCCCATTTACACAATGCAATACACTATTATGCCAATGATTTTTTTTGCCTACTCTGCAATATTCACCTGGAAATCAAATATGCCTCTGTGAAAATGTGAACTCCTTAAACAGTTTTAGTTAAATATGGCTTGAATGCATATAATCCTGTAACCGTTCAGAATGAATATAATCCTGATATTTTCTTTTTTGCTTCAATAAAACGTCTGATAAAATGCACAGAAGTGAAGTAATGCACTACTTTAGTCTTGCCTTCACGGTTATTATACTCTTTTTGTGCCGGAGGTTCACAGAAATGAGCTTCTGCAGTAATGAGATATACTGTGGCAAAATGAGCCATTAGGATCTTCTGTGTTTACTTAATAATGTCAGTAGAAGAGGGAATAGGAGGCGGCTGTGGGTGTGATGGCAAGCGTGTGTGGTTTTCTGCTTGTTGTAAGTTCACAGTATTGTGACTGCACCTTTGTGGTTTGATCCAGTCTAAGACCAAGAAAGAAAACCACATCTTTTTTTTTCCCATCTCATTTTTAAAGCTATGATAAATACAGTTCCTTGCAAAAGTATTTATACTCCATGAAATTTTCCACATTCTGTCATGATGCAATAACAAGGCTCATTGTGTTTTAAAGTGATATTATAACAGGGAAAGACCAGGTCAAAAAAGTGCATAATTGTAAAGTGAAAGGAAAAGGACACAGTGTTCAACATATTTTACAAAGAATATCTGAAAAGTGTACTTTCGCAATAAGCCCTTTTCACACAGGAACATGAGGATAAAATCCAATGCAATCGGTGTTACAACCTGTGGTAAAGTATTAACTCAGAGCGACTAATACCACACATTAAATATTTTCATTAATGCGTCGTCAATTTAGTGCTACTTTGTGTTGGTCTGTTACATAAAGTCCCAATAGTTTCTATAAAATACACAGCAGCCAGTGTGTGAAAAAGTAATAGCAGCATGAGTATTTCAAAAGACACTATAAAGTTGCAGATATGTACATTTATACAGTCATGTTCAATCACTTAGAATGTTATTGAAAAGCCCACAAAGTTAAACACAATTTGTTTTATATCCATTAACTGTTATGATTTTCCAGCTTATAATTAACCAAAACATTACATTTAAAATCAGAATATTAAGTCAGACCAATAAGAAACATTTTAATGCAGAAATGTGGGTTTACTGCAAAAGTATGTTTAGTACCTGCTTAAAAGTTATTTTCAAACGGTACTTTTAATCTGACAGAAGAGATGACCTGGAACACATATTTTAGTCTACTGGGCATGGCCGTACATGTTTTGCAGGTAATATGACTTCCTTCTATCTCTGCCTGCCTGCAGGATTTCTCAGCACAGGTGACCAGGCAGCAAAAGGGAACTACGGCTTGCTTGATCAAATTCAGGCTCTGCGCTGGGTGAAGGAGAACATTGCATCCTTTGGCGGCGATCCAAGCAGGGTCACTGTGTTTGGATCTGGTGCTGGTGCATCATGCGTTAGCCTCCTCACCTTGTCCCACTACTCTGAAGGTAAGAGAAAATCATGCAACACAATTTCACTACTCACTGACGTTTAGTTTTCACTTGATTTTCTTTTTCGTATAGTATATGTTAAAAATAGTAAACAGAAATTGATGAGGACGGTGTATTCCGCGGAAAGTCGTACATTATACATTTGAAAATTATATATTTGGAACCAAGGTAAATAAGAGTAAAAAGCCTTAAATGCTACCTTTCAAATAAAATGAAATACTTTCTCTGGTTTTTACTTAAAACTTTATATTTCATGCTTTTATCACTTTTTAAATAAGTTTACATTTGTTTGCTGCAAATCATCTTTTATTTTGCTACAATTCTGTGATAACTCTTGATTCATTAGTTTTTTTTATGTATAGGAGAATTTTAATGTTTCACCATTTTTTTAAATTTACTTAGTTTAGCATATTTGGTGTGATTTCCTAAGGTCGTTTAATTACATGAAAAGTGGACCATAAATAAAACTCAACTGACTTGATATAATTCTCATACCTTTTATTTTAGTTATGTTGAGATTTGGATATCCATTGCATTCCTGTTCAATTTGTGTGATTACAAGTTATGCTTTAGACCTTGTTCAGTCTTTGAAACATTTCCAGTCGTTTTAATCTTTTAACTGGCTTCTTCCTGTCTGAGTGGCCTTTCATGTCATGTCATCCCAGGACTCATTTAACCCTGGATTCTTTTTACAACCAGCATCTTCTTTAGTCTTTTGCTTTTGTTCTGGCATCGATGCACACATTTCACACACACAAAAAAAGTGTACTCATCACAGTACCCATCTCCTTCCTGAATGGTACAAAGGCTGGACAGTAAAGATAAATGTATTTTAAGGCTCTTTACACCTTTTAACCAAAAGAATATATATCAGTGTACGTGTGTGTTGATGTACTTGTGTACAAAAATGTATTTGCAAAAGTGAGCCTTTTTGGATTTGTTGAATTTTTATTTTTTTTGTATCAGATCTGTTCCACAGAGCAATTATCCAGAGTGGCAGCGCTTTAGCCAGCTGGGCTGTCAACTACCAGCCAAGCAAATATGCCCGGCAGCTCGGCGAGAGGGTTGGCTGTGGCATTGATGATAGCACTCAACTGGTCACCTGCCTCCAGGGCCGGAGTTTCCGTGAGCTTGTGGAACAGAACATTACTCCGGCCAAATATCACACTGCTTTTGCCCCGGTGATTGATGGCGACGTTATACCTGATGACCCTCAGATTCTGATGGAGCAGGGGGAGTTTTTGAACTACGATGTGATGCTGGGGGTCAACCAAGGCGAAGGCGTGAAGTTTGTGGAGGGAATTGTGGACTCGGAGGACGGTGTCACAGCCGAGGACTTTGACTTTGCCGTGTCAGACTTTGTGGATAGTCTGTACGGTTACCCAGAAGGCCGAGATACACTAAGAGAGAGCATACGGTGAGTATGAAAGTGAAAACCCATGTATGTTTAAGCATCCATGTGACATTCTTGGAAGTATGATTACCAGCTTTCCTGCTTAGAATTAATCGGAATAGACAAAGAAGGGAAAAGGGCCATAAATGGGTCCACAATATCCTCATCAACAGATGTATAATTTTATGTTGGAGGTATGAAGAAATAGGTACTTGGCAAGCATTATGCAGATGCACTTTTTAGTGATGACCCTTAAGGTGGCTGAAGACTCCTTACAAGAAAATATAGACTTCTATATTTTTAATAATAATTTGTAGAAATGAAAGCTACAATTCAGAACTGAATCTCCAGTTGTTGTTGCTGTTTATGATCCTGAATCTACTGTTTCGACTGCAGCACAGCTTGCTAATGCAGGATAGTAGAAATGAAGCAGTTTGAAAATCATGAGCTACTGCTTTAAGTACTATTCTTTTTATGTTTATTGATTTTTATTGAGTGGTTACAATGCATGAATGAGTATGAGATTCTTGCGGTATGACAACTTCAAATATCAGCTACTAATATATTATAATAATTATAGCTCATAGCATCAATAGTTGTTATAATACCAAGTAAAGCCTTTTTAGAGTAAGGCCAGGAGCAGAGATGTACCGATCGGGGTTTTATGACTGAGAGACGGCTTTTTGTAAAACTGACCTACCAATCCTAGCTTTCCTTGATGGTCTTAAGGTACTGGTTCATGAAATCGGGCCTGTCTGGACCTCACTTGGGGTTAAAAATCAACAAGTGCACGACACTGAGAGGACAAAAAAATCACAAAATGGATAATGGTGAAAGAATAATTATGCTGTCTATTTTAGAAGAGGTTAAAAAACAGTTCTTACAAATAGATAAAAGACAATGTGTTCACTGTTGATGCTATACCCCTGTGTAACTGACTTACATAAGGCTGACACAATGAACCTTAGCTCTGCCTCTGCGGTCTCTTCTGCTGCTTATGTGTCAGTCAGAAGTTGAAAAGTTTTGACAACCACTGTCTTAATAAACTATAAATAAAGCCTTTTTAAGTATTTTTATCCAGCCTTTCACCATTAATTATAATTAAGAGCAGAGTGGCAAGTGTATGTTTCATGAACGGCTGCTGTAAAACAGAGTTTTACCATTATTATAAAACAAAGACAAAAAGATTAGAGTTGAAATTGGAATCAGTCCTTAGCATCTTCAATCAGAAATGAGCCCCAATAGTCTGGTTAATAGTATTAAATGTAAACAGTTATCTCTGTGTATTTCATACAAAGTGGAGATTCTTCCGCTAAGATAAACACATGGAAAAAAAAAATCCAAATAGCTGCCAACATTTCCAAATCCAGCAATCCTTGACAGACATCAAACAATAAAATTGCAATTGCGATGTAGCACAACAGTCCTGTTATCTCACTAAGCCTCTCAGTAAGCCTTACAATCATCCTCTGCATAAAATGCAGTTTCGATCTTCTATTACTTTGCTTTCACATACTTAATTTTAAACTTAAGATAAATGAAAAATGAATCTAATTTTGGGTTTCCCTGAAGTAACAATTTCCACATGGAAGATCTGGTAAAACGCAATCCAGTGCTTTCCACTGATGAGAAAAATACTTGATTTTTTAGGTTATGTTGGGCCACTCACCCGTCAGGGTCAGTCAAACTGAAAATCAGGTGATTCTAGTCCGACCCATTTCTCTTTAAATCCTTTACTGAAAAACATAAGCTGATATCAGCTGATTAATAATACAGTTAAGTAGCTAGCCTGCAGTTGGTTGCTTGTCAGACACGCAGATTATAGCTTTGCAGCTGTAGTTTTAAAATACCAATACCTTTATGAGAGTGATGACAGTGTACTCCTTTTAGTTTGAACACAATGACTGGAAATGAGTTCAAACATATTTATTCTTTATGCCAGCCCACGGTGGCGGCTTTCAAAACACTTGGTTTTGAAACCTTGGTGTACACAATGCTTATGACAGGCCTAGTCTCAACCATTTGTTTGAGAAATAAAAATGATTGATTAAATAATGTTGATAAAGGTTTTTCAAGGTATAGGATAAAATTAAAGCAATGGGGGTTTGTAAGTAACATTTCTATTTATTGGGTGCCTGAAATTAGCAGGGTTTATGCAGTTCAAACGTAGCTTTGTCTTTTATCTTGACTTTGATCTTTGCATATCTGCTGATCTTTTGCAAAAATGAAACAGCTTGAAAGCTTAATAATGGTCACAGATTAACACAAAAGTAAATTTTATGTAGCACAACCTTTTTTTTTTTTTTTTTGAATGATGCTACAAAACAATGAAGCTCTTGATAGGGAATAATGTTAAAAGTACCAAAGTCTGTCAGCTGCAATTCTAATGCTCACAAATAAACAAATAAACACAAAATGCACTGATAAAATCATAGTTTACAAAGTAAGGCTAAATATAATTCCAAATATATTATATCTTTATTCCTGTACTTCGATTTAATGCAGACAAACTGAATTTTGCAAGTTGCTAACCAACAGAGAACGCACCACTTCAATGCCATCAGGTGACAATGGCCTTTAGATAAAAATAGTAAACTATGAGATAAATAAAAATCCACCCTCACTGACGATAAACGTGTAGATAAAACAGCTATCTCTGAGCATTACAGTCCCAGATATATTGTTCACACAGCAACCGTAGCCCACAAACTCCCATAATTTACTGTGCATACAAAACTCTGTGTTGCCAAGTAACACGGTGATCGCTGGACTTCTTTCTGGACAGTAACATCCATTAGTCAATTTGTTGTACTCATTGGTCTGATCATCATTCTGCTCTCAACTCCTCTGTACTTCCTTCCTCCCTGCAGTAAAACCACCCTCTAAAGATTTCAGATACTCAGCTATATAATGTCACGATAGACGTGCACGATTAATGAATTTAGCATTTAGCCAGATTCAGTGAGCGCTTGTTGGTTATTTGTTGGTTGCACACACATTGGGTGTGTTTGGTGGAGCCCATTTAACTTGATCTGTCATTTTAGTTGTCTTCTCTCACTGTTTCAAAAATACTCTGTCAGGCTAATCTTTATTATTATTACTTGCAAGGACTTCCATGTAGATGCCGTCCTTTATTTTACTGTCTTTTAGCAATACAATGCTGTTAGAAAACTGCTTAGCCAGCACCGGCGTGACCACCCAGCTTACAGTACTATTTACAAGCTGAAAGCTTTGTACCCAGTGAGCAGCAGGGAAGACCTAAAGTTCATTTGTTTATTTTTAATAACTTAAACAAACCATCTGTGACTCTAACTTTTGGAAAGCTACTGCATTAAATGCAAATACTTGACCATGTAGAAAATGTATTTAGGAGCACGATTTATTTGGTGTATGTGAAATATTTTGCTTAGTCAAGCGGCGATCTGATTTCAAATATGTTTTGTGAAGGTTCATGTACACTGACTGGGCAGACCGCGACAACGCAGAAACGCGGCGAAAGACACTAGTGGCACTTTTTACAGATCACCAGTGGGTGGCGCCAGCCATTGCTACAGCGGATCTCCATGCACAGTATGGGTCTCCTACCTACTTCTACTCCTTTTACCACCACTGCCAGAGTGATGCCACGCCACCCTGGGCTGATTCTGCCCATGGTGATGAGGTAAGACTGCTCGTGTCTTTCCTAGTATTTGCTTTTGATTCACCAAAGGAGATGATATTAGATGTTAAGAAAAAGAAAATATATCTGTAGATGTTTAGATACACTCACTATGAGAATGAATGTGATTCATTTTGGGGTTTTAATATACGCATTTTACGCATTTAAAATAATTTTTCAAAATGGAATGGTAATACAATAGACAACTTCCATAATTTTGGTGCACACATTTTAAATTATTAAGTATTTTCTACCTAGTATGAGAAAAATCAGATGATGGTGAGATTGTAATGGTATTATTAGTTCTGGTTTTTAGGGATAGTTGTTACATTTCCAATAAGGTTGAGGTTTAGATGTCTACAGAGCTTAATGTTTTTGCCTGCTTTGTTCGTTAAAAAACAAAAAAAACAAAACAGTTTAATAATTTTCTGTTTGGTCCACCAAGCTAAATCCAGGTTTTAGCATGAAAACTGTGGAGGAGAAGATAAAAAAATCAGGTGTAGTCCTCCATCTTCATTGTTGCACCAGGTTTGTGCAAACTTCAGCAAGAGGCTGCTGCCACTGTGCTTAAAAGATTGTATAGTATTCTTGGGTTTAAAAGTTTTACCTTGACTCTCTTTCTGTTGTTTTGGCCCGAAAGCTCAATCTTTATCTTGTCTTACCGTAAAACATTTCACCAAAAGGTACTTATCCAATAACTGCAGCTAATTTCGTTTCCGCTTGGAGGTGTCGGTTTCAGAGCTGGTCTCTCGGCAAATGCGACTTTTAAGTGGCTTCATAGTGTTTCAGCATCTTCCAGTGTGTGATAAACTTGAGCTTAAGTGGTAACTCGGTTGCCCCTTGAGCAATATAAATAATGACATTTAGCATCAGAGAGTTAAAAAGTTGGACACAACTGAATGTTTCAACATAGCACAGATCCCAAAACCACGTAAAAACAGTGGAATAAATCAGGCTAACATTTTAGGCTCTGGAAAGGTGCCAACTTCAGCCCTATTAAACTTGTTTGGACCATGCTTCAAAGCTGAATTACTGTTTCTGATAAGAGAAGTGGCCAAATACTCTAGCAGAATTAAGTTACAAGGTTGTTGGCTCCAAAAAGGATGTACTTCATCTACGGCTTTATAAGGGACATTCATCCAAATACAAATCAGGGAAGGTGAATGTGTGTATTTGAGCCTGTATGTAAGATTTCGATCCTGCATTGATGCTACACAATTCACAAGTCCAAACAAAAAAAAAAAAATAAAACAAAACAAAAAATAATCAGTTTAAATACATCAATTAAAGCCCTTAATGAATATGACTGTCATGTTGATGATGAGTGCCTGATCTGTGATGATCTCAAAACGAAACAACTATGCCTTTGTAAACAGATTTTCATCTGTTTTCTCAACTTTACCCATGTGTCAAGTACAACTTTAATATTTAAAGTACGCACAACTCCTCATAAACTGTTTTAATTTAAAAGGCATACATCAACACAGGTTAAGTGCACTACTACCAAATAAAAGTTAATTTATGAAGCTAAATGAAAAGAGGAGAAATAATACTCAAGAGCATTTGGGAAATGTCCGAAAATAATCCATCGCTTGATGGATTATTGTTCAAAAAGCTTCACAGCAGAAATACTCAGAGTTGAACCAAATCAAACTAAGTTGAACATTTTTCCTTCCAACAGATGTTTGTTTTTTAGTTTAACTGTAGAAAATAGATGTCAAATAAAGTTGAACAAACTATTGAATTATTTTCCTTGGACTATGTTTTGATACTTTCTACTATGGGTGTGGGTTCACTTTTTATGTGCAACTAATAAAAGCTGAGGCAGGCAAAAAGGTGCAAAAAAAAAAAAAGAGATAAATTTAAAATTCTGCTTGAAAAATACAAATGTGAGCTGTGTTTCACAGTTGGCTTTTATAATTATCAGAGAGCTATTCTAAGCAAAAGGCAAAACAAAGCAAAAAAAGGCCCTAATCACCTGCTTTAATTACGGCAGAGTTGTAATTACTGCAAGGAATATCTGAACAAGAACAGTACCAAGCTTAGAAAACAGCAGTTGCTGGATGCATCATCAGTTGTACAAGTACTCTTAAAGATGAAAAGAGTTTTAATGTACTTAATTTGCTCTGTGCGATTCCTCATCTCTTCCCCCCTCATTTTCATTTGCTTTGCAGTGTAGACAGTTGTTTTCAATACGGAAATTCTGAACATTTTATTCACATTTTTCATTCATGTGGGCTTTTCTGAAGTCTGCAGAGAGAGAAGGAGCTGAGTTCTAATTTTCTTTTAGGCTACTTCAAATACAGTCTTTTGAGTGGTTATGAAATTTTAGCTCACTGATGCTAAAAATGTTCTGCTTTAAGGCTTTAAGCATATTCTCTAAAAGAAAAGAAGTATCTACTGTCTTCTAGGTCTGACTTTCAGCACAATCCTTTTAAATCTTCAAATGAATTAGAGGCTTTAATTTAAGTTCATTTACAGATTGTCTTGTTTTAAGCAGGGATTGGATGTATTGCGCAGTTTAATCCAGCGTGTGTGTTGGTGTGTGTAGGTGCCCTACGTGTTCGGCGTGCCCATGGTGGGTCCCACTGATCTGTTCAACTGTAACTTCTCCAAGAACGACGTGATGCTGAGCGCAGTGGTAATGACTTACTGGACCAACTTCGCCAAGACCGGGTAAGCTGAAAAAGGTTCAGTGATGTGAAACATGAATCAGACGGAAAATCCCACTGACGGGGTTTTTCATTTTCTTCGTGCAGCAAAAACTCATGAAAAACAAAGCATCTCTTCAGCTAATTAGCTTTACTGCGATATCAATATCTAATCCTTGCCTACGAGGAGAAGAGGTCTTATTTTAATGAATGAAGGCCCAGACATTTAATCACATTTTCGGATGTAAAATAAAGTGTGCTGATTGATTTTTTTCCTCCTCGTTTTTTTTTTTTTTTGTATGACTTCACAGAGACAAGGGTTTGGCAACATGCAGTGTTGTTTGTGTCAGTGTGGACAGCTCACTCTTGAATTTACAGGAACAAATCTCATCCAAGCTTAAAATGAGACGGCCAAGATTCAAGTCAATGTTGTTGTTAAGATAAACAGCTTTGTGCCTCTTCGCTGTGCAGTTCTTAATACGCTAGCTTTAATTCTTTGGGCTAACTCAGAGTGATTCATATCGCATATTTTAATACACATCTTCTTTCTTATTGCTAACTGACATTCAGGGTTGCATTTATATTCATAACATATATTTTATTTTGAAGGGGCGTTTCCACTACGAAAACTGATTTTTTTAAAGCAGAAAACAGTGTTAATAGGAGCAAGCAATGAATTGACAGGTGAGGAATGTGCTTTGTTTTTCCTTCAAAGCGTCTCGGGGTGATGAGGAGATACTTATTCAAATAAAATCATGAAAGAAGCACTGCAGATTGTTTTGGCAGCGGTTGCACCGTGATGTTCTGTCAAAGTCTTGACAGGCCTTTTCATTTTTTTTTCAGGGGCTTGAAGTAACCTACTCTCTTCTTTTCTCTACTCGATCATTTCTGCGGAACGGAGTGCTTACTCAAAATGTTAAATGAAAAAGTACTGCCTAAAGCTAGAGGATTCAATTTATTAAACTGAAAATGAAATTATCTGCCTGTGGCTTAGAGAAATATAAGTATAGAAAAAATACCACTTTAAAACTTCAGAGATTCGACATTATATACAGTGCCCTGCAAACATCTTAAACCTTATTTATTTTTTGTTAATATAACACAATAGACCACAATGTACATTTTATGTGGTAGACCAAAACAAAGAGGTGTACACATGCAACGTGGAAGAAAACACATTCATGGTTTTCTACATATTTTACCAATAAAGATCTCATACAAGGAAATTAATCTGCATTTATCCACTTTACTCTGATTCCTCTAAATAAAATCCAGAGCAAATAACGATCTGCTGAAGTCACCTAAGGCCTCACTGGTTTGTTAGAGAACCATAGTGAACAAGCGGCATCATGCAGAACAAGGAACATAGCATGCAGGCCTCAGATACAGCTGTGGAGAACTATAAAGCATAGTTAGGTAATTAAACAGAATCAGAAGCTTTGAATGTCTCATAAAATACTATTCAGCTCATCTGTTTAGTAACAATGTTCTTTCATTCTGACTGGGACTTGCGGGCCAGTCTGGTTCTTATTTCCATCAGTTACTGGGTGAGAGGTATTTAACATAAAAACCTCTTTTATGCATCTGCTTTTCATTAAACAGCTAGCAAGAAGAAAGTAGCCATAAAGAATGCTGTCAAAATGTCCATCTGCCATCAGGCAGTTATTTTAGGGACACCTAAGACAGCACGCTATAAAAGAAAGTACTCTTGTCAGATGGGACCAAGTCTGAACATCTATCCCCACAGTAAAAAAAAACATTTTGTGGTTGAAACCTGGCAGTGAACATCACACTGGAAACACCCTACCCATATGAAACATGGTGGTGGCAGCACCATGCTGTGGAGATGTTTTTCTTCAGCAGGGACAGGGAAGCTGATTAGCACTGATGGGACAATGGAGGAAGTTAGTATAAGAAGATATTTTTAAAGGCTGCAAATTCGGACTGAGATGGATTTGGTTTGGTTTTCTGTGGCCTAATCGATGTTGAGATGTAGAATGAATTGCCAATCTGTGTCATAGCCCTCCTTCCAAATCTGATTGAGTTTGGGCTATTTTGCAGCCATTTTTCACATTAACAACTATTTGCAGTAATGCATTAGTTGATCTACCAC